AAATTTCTTGATATGTCCAGTTCGAAGTTTTTCTTGAGGTCCTTGACTGGCTGAAGTCTGAGAGGTTTCTGCTGCAATAGATGATCAACGTTTGCATCACTGGAATCTCCATGCATTTCTTGACTGTTGTAATTATCGTCACCAAATGATGACTTTTTCGCCCCTCTTCTTAATGTGGACCTTCGGGATGAAGCACCCTCGAGAGAACGCTTCTTGAGAGTGCCTCGAGATGTCCTCTTGCGGGATATCGGTGTCTTGGTTGTAAGTCTGCCACCCTTGTTCTCTCCACTGACAGAGCAGAGTAACTCAAACTTCTCCCTCGTAGCCGCAACTGACCAGGTAATCCTTTGTAAATCCCCGATATTGTCTTTCACAGGGGCATTGGAGGCACTCAGATCGTCTTTATAACAATGTTTACTGCGATTGTTTAGATGCCTTTCATTTGCGCCACTAATGTCATTGCCAGAATTATACTTGTTATCTGTATTCTCGATAATTTCAATGGGTCGTGGCTCATTGAACAGGTAACGAGACGATAACGAGTGAGAGGAGCTGCGGGACTGTGAAGCCCTTCTCTCAAGGTGAGGCGTCGACTCAATGATGCTTGTGTGGCTTCCTGGTCCACGAGGTAAGATTCGATCCTGAGTTCTCATTTTTTCACGGCGTTTATCCGAGGAATTTTTATGGGAAAGGGCATCACTCCCGAATGTCTGCATTTCAAAAAGGTTTGTATCAGCTCGAGATGTAATGGTAGTTCTCAGAGAAGAATCACTAGCACTGATAATGCGACTGAAAACACTGAGCTGTCTCGTTGGTCGGGATATATTCGTGGGATAACCTGGAAGATTAGAAACTATGAGGAAGTTGTCAACAGTATCTGTGCCCTTGTCATCGGGTTGTGAGCTGGCTTTAGTCTCACCAGATAGACGACGGAGGGGTGGGTGCTTTCCCTTGGTTACTCCTTTATTTTGTTCCATCGATCTGTCTCCTTGTGAAAACAGTTGAATTTTCCTTTGAATTTCAGATTCGCTTTTAGTACTTTCTCTTCGATCGTTCGAAATACTTTTACAATCATTCTCATCACTATCATCCTGTTTTTGTAGGTCCTTAATCTCACTCAGTTTGCCCTCAGAGCTAACACTCTGTAAGCCATCAACACAGTCACCACCTTGCTCAAGTGTCTTATCAGTTGCTCTACAGATATTACCAAGATGTTCCCCATCACCATCGTCTTGATTTTCTTGCTTCTTGTTGACAGGGCTTTCATCTCCAGCAGCTTCGAGGCAACCATTGGTTATTTCGCTTTCCACTGCAAGGTCTTTCCTCGACTCTCCCAAGTCTTGATGAACCTCTGTTTCTGTCTCCTGTTCTATGTCATTCTCTGGTTTCTTTTCCTCCTCTTTTTCATCCCTAAGTATATTGTCCCCCTCTTGTTCCAGTTTCTTATCTAGTTCATTTTCGATATCTTGTTCCTTTTCCTCTTCCTCTTCTTCATTTTTCTGTTCTTGCTCCTTTTGCTCGTCTCCATTATTTTCCTCTTCCTTCTCGTTCTCCTTCACCTCTCTGTCCTCCTCCTCCTTCACCACCACCTCTTCCTTTTGCCCCTTTACAGGAGGTGACGGGTAGAGGATGAGACCTGCTTGTTGATCCTCCGGAGTAACCTTAATAACCTCGTCAGATAAAGTGTGGATCCACCTCATCATTTCCTCCCTCGACCCAAGCTGCAAAAGCAAGTCAGCGAATTAATTCCACGAGAAGAAAATACATCCGTTGCACAACTTCATCCAATCATCGAATGACGCAGAACCTGCATCATACGATGACTGCAATTCGATTACAGATTCAAAATCACTTGTTTTGTGATTTCATATATATATATATATATATATATATATATATATATATATATATATATATATATATATATATATATATATTATATATAATATGTTCAACTCCTTCACAATGCAGCCAATATAAAAGTGCTTCCAAATGTCCCTACGATTCATTTGAGTGATTCATTTTAATCCATTCTCGTAACACTCTGACAGCGATATCGAGAATCATGTACGTTAACATAAGAACATAAGAACATAAGAAAGGAGGAACACTGCAGCAGGCCTGTTGGCCCATACTAGGCAGGTCCTTTACAATTCATCCCACTAACAAAACATTTGCCCAACCCAATTTTCAATGCCACCCAAGAAATAAGCTCTGATGTGCAAGTCCCACTCAAATCCAACCCCTCCCACTCATATACTTATCCAACCTGAATTTGAAACTACCCAAAGTCCTAGCCTCAATAACCCAACTAGGAAGACTGTTCCACTCATCAACTACCCTATTTCCAAACCAATACTTTCCTATGTCCTTTCTAAATCTAAACTTATCTAATTTAAATCCATTACTGCAGGTCCTCTTTTGGAGAGATATCCTCAAGACCTTATTAATATCCCCTTTATTAATACCTATCTTCCACTTATACACTTCGATCAGGTCTCCCCTCATTCTTCGTCTAACAAGTGAATGTAATTTAAGAGTCTTCAATCTTTCTTCATAAGGAAGATTTCTAATGCTATGTATTAATTTAGTCATCCTACGCTGAATGTTTTCTAACGAATTTATGTCCATTCTGTAATATGGAGACCAGAATTGAGCTGCATAATCTAGGTGAGGCCTTACTAATGATGTATAAAGCTGCAGTATGACGCCTGAACTTCTGTTGCTTACACTTCTTGATGTAAATCCCATTATTATTATTATTATAATCAAAAAGAAGCGCTAAGCCACAAGGGCTATACAGCACTGCAGGGTAGGGAAGGAAGCGAGGGTATTGGGTGGCAGAAGGGGGGAGGGATGATCAGTAGGTTACAGAAAACAGTGGGGCATGGGATAGTACAGGGGTAGAGCGTAGCAAGAGATTGAATTAGAAAGGGCTGAAGGTATCAGAATTTGTGAAGTAAGTCAGTTGTCAAAAAGTCAATGAGAGAGTCCGGATGAAAGGTGGGTCCATCAGCGAGAAGGGAAGGTAAAGAGAGAGCAGCGGAGCGAAGACAACGATGGAGGTAAATTCTGCATGCTCATTGATAAAGTGGGCAGTCCAACAGAATGTGGCTGACTGATAATGGAGCTTGGCAATTCTCACAGAGAGGAGCAGGGTGCCTCTCCATGAGATATCCATGAGTAAGACGAGTATGGCCAATGCCAAGACGGGAGAGAGTAGTCTCCCAACCTCGACACTGGTGATAACAAGACTGCCAGTAACCTATACTCGGTTTAATAGATTGAAGTTTGTTGCCGAGCATAGTAGACCAATGTTGTTGCCAACGGGTGTGAAGGTGGGAAGATATTGCAGCAAAATAGTCCGTAAATGGAATACCTCTATATGAAACTGGTAGGTCGTGTACTGCTGACCGCGCAGCAGTGTCTGCCTGTTCATTGCCCTGTATGTCAACATGACCAGGGACCCAACAAAAAACGATGTCTTTATGCTTGGTAAAGATACGGCATAGCCAAAGTTGTATATGGAGGACTAAGGGGTGAGGTGTATCAAATTTCTGTATAGCTTGTAAAGCACTAAGGGAGTCTGAGGCAGCCACAAATGATGACACAGGCATAGATGCAATATGGATAAGTGCTGCAAGGATGGCATACAATTCAGCAGTAAAAATACTAGCCGAAGATAGTAAATGCCCTCGTACGACGCTGTCCGGAAACACTACTGTGAATCCTACACCGTCAGAAGACTTAGAGCCATCTGTGTACACAGCAATGGCATGAGAATGAGAGTGGAAGTGGTCAAGAAAAAGAGAGCGGGAAGCGACCATAGACAGTTGGGCTTTCGAGCAAGGGAGAGAGAGAAAGAACAGCGGGAAGCAACCGTAGACAGTTGGGCTTTCGAGCAAGGGAGAGAGAGAAAGAACAGACTCGAACAGCTGGAACTTCCCAGGGGGGTAGGGAAAAGTGAGATGCTACATGAACATAGAAAGGTGGTAATTGAAGAGAAGACAAGAGCGAATGAAGGCGAAGAGAGAAGGGACAGAGTAAACAGGGGCGGCGAACAAATAAAGAATGTCTACTAATATCAGTGACCATTCTATAAATGGAAGGATTGCGGAGATCATGAGAGCGTACATAGTAGCGAATGCAATGGGCATCATGGCGATCGGATAAGGATGGAATGTTCACTTCTGCATAGAGGCTCTCGACAGATGAAGAGCGAAAAGCACCAAGGCATAAACGTAATCCTTGGTGATGAATGGGGTTAAGGCTAGAGAGAGTAGCAGGAGATGCCACTGAATAGATCTGGTCACCATAATCAAGTTTCGATAAAATAAGGGTGGAATGTAAGGTTCGACGATCAGCTCCCCACGAAAGATGAGCAAGGGTTTTAAGAAGGTTCAGCCGGCTGTGACAAGTTGCCTTCAGAGAGGTAATGTGAGGTTTCCAGGATAACCTACGGTCAAAAAGGAGGCCCATAAACTTGACTATCACGTTCAGGGATACGGGAGCCATAGAGGTACAAAGGATGATCGGAGATGACAGAGCGTCTAGTGAAAGTAATTTGGTGGGTTTTAGTGCTAGAAAATTTAAACCCATGTGCGGTGGCCCAATTGGAAACATGGTCGACCGCATGCTGGAGAGAAACTGTAATGAGGTGACAGTCAGCGCCTGCACAGGCAATAGCGAAGTCATCAACATAGAGTGATGACCAAATATGTGATGGAAGACTAGAGGCCAAATCATTAATAGCAAGGAGAAAAAGTGTTGTGCTCGGAACACATCCTTGGGGGACACCTTCAGCTTGGATAAAGTCCGGGGAGAGCACATTATTAACCCGAACACGGAAATGCCTGTCAGTTAAAAAGTTCTTAAGGAAGGATGGTAGATTGCCTCGAAGGCCTAAAGAGTGGGCTTGGGCTAAAATATTATACCTCCAAGTTGTGTCATATGCCTTCTCAAGGTCAAAAAATATGGCAATAACTGAGTGGTTATTTGCAAAGGCATTACGAACATACGTATCCAAGCGTAGTAAGGGGTCTATGGTAGAACGTTCCTTACGAAAGCCATATTGATGAGTGGAGAGACTGTTGTGTGTCTCTAAATACCACACTAAACGTCTATTTACCAGGCATTCCATCACTTTGCAAACTGCACTGGTAAGAGCAATGGGATGATAGTGGAAGGCTTCATGTCCCGTAGTGCCTGGTTTGTGGAAAGGGAGAACAATGGCAGATTTCCACAGCTGTGGAAGAACTCCTTGTGACCAAATAAGATTGTAAAGGCATAATAGGACTGCAAGGGCTGACTGATGTAAATGTTGTAGCATACGAATGTGAATGTCGTCGGGCCCAGCTGCCGATGATCGGCAAGCTGAGAGTGTTGCCTCCAGTTCTTGAAGTGTAAAAGGCACATTATACTGTTCTTCTCTGAGAGAAGAAAAGTCCAAGGGTGCTAACTCTCTGGCAGAGTTTGAGGAAAGAAACAAGGGGCATAGATGGAGTCTCTGAGAAATACAGACCAGATGATTGCCAATCTCATTGGCAACATCTAGTGGGTTTGCTATATCAACACCGGCAACCCGCAGAACAGGAGCCGGGTCAGGAGAATATTTACCACTCAGTTTTCGTACTTTTTTCCAGACTGCACTCATAGAGGAAACAGAGGCGATAGTGGAGACATAATCTCGCCAGCAAGTGCGTTTAGCGTCACGGATGACACGGTGAGCGATCGCATGCTTCTGCTTAAAATCAAGAAGTCTCTCCGTGGTTCTATTGTACCAGTACCTGCCCCATGCAGCGCGTTTCAAATGTACTGCACGAGCACAAGCAGGAGACCACCAAGGCACGCATTTCTGAGAATGCCTGCTCGAAGTTTGGGGTATACAATTAGAAGCGGCGGTTAAAATGGAGGACGAGAAGAGGTGTAAAACTCATCAATGGAGGACGAAGAAGGAACCTCTCTAAAAACAGTTAGGTGTGAGTAAAGGTTCCAATTTGCCTGATCAAATTGCCAGCGTGGGATGCGAAGAGGTGGTGAATATGAAGGGGAAGTAAGAATGATTGGGAAATGATCACTGTCATGTAAGTCTGGGAGAACAGACCAAGTGAAGTCTAATGCGGCGGAGGAAGAGCAGACTGAGAGATCGATGCGAGAGAGAGTGTGAGTCCGAGGATCAAAATGGGTTTGAGTACCTGTATTTAAAACATGGAGGGAGTGGGTGGCAAGAAAAGCCTCTAACTGAATGCCACGGGAATCACAGTGAGACCCCCCCCAGAGGAAATGATGGGCATTAAAATCGCCAAGTAACATAATCAGTGGTGGTAACGACGAAACAAGAAAGGCAATATCCGGAATAGATAATGCCCGAGAAGGAGAGAGATATAAAGAACAGAGCATATACCACCTATGCAAGTGGATACGGGCTGCTGTGTAATGCAGTGAAGTACGAACAAATAGCTGATGGTACGGAATATCATTGCGTAGAAGAAGGGCACTTTCATTAAAGGTCCCATCAGGAAAAGGATCTGACGAATACAATAAATTATAGCCTGAGATGGGAGAGATAACAGCAGAGTGTAATTTTGGTTCCTGTAAGCAAACACCAACAGGGGAAAACTGGGAGAGTAACATCTGAAGCTCACCCCGATTACCCCTGAGGCCGCGTATATTCCACTGTAAATAGGCCATGATTGGCAATGATAAAAATACTTGAAATCCA